TCAAAGGATACAGAATAAACATTTGCATACTCATAACCCAGCCTTATCAAATCTTACCATTATGTCATATATATATATTTTTAATTTCGTTTTGAATGACAGAGCATGAGCGGGGGAGGGGCAGAGAGAGAGGGAGACACAGAATCGGAAGCAGGCTCCAGGCTCTGAGCTCTCAGCACAGAGCCTGATGTGGGGCTCAAACTCACCAACTGTGATGTGAGATCATGACCTGAGCTGAAGTCAGATGCTCAACCAGCTGAGCCACCCTGGCACCCCAACATTACGTCATAATATTTTCTAAGGAATTAAACTTTTTATTAGAGAAGATTTTGAACATACCCACGAAAGCAGAGGAGGCAGGAAAACGAGCCCATGTACCCAGTACCAGCTTCCATGATTATCAACTTGGGTCTGTCACTTCCGGCTTCATCTTGTGCCACTTTGTTCCTTGTTTTTATTTTGAAAGCGTTCTCGCACAGCATGTCTTAAAACTGTTACAAATAAGGAGGCAATTTTGTTACTTTGTGTGGGACAATGGAGATGATCAAATAATGTATGCTGCTTCCGTTCCTGAATTCTCCCACAGCGTGTTGTTAAAATTTGACATCCCATCTGGATACATAGGCTTGCAAAGGCTACATTTGGTGTTACAAGTCCTTTCTTTCATGCAGTATGATGACATATGTGACAGTCGTGTGTTTTTTATTTTTTTCTGGCAAAATTAAAAGTTGACCGGTAATATCGTTCTCTCTTTGAGGGTGTTGATTTTACTGGTCTGGTAAATTGAAGAATTTGGGAACCGATAATCTTATGTGGATTATAAATAGGAAATGAGGTCATTTGAACATCATGCCATCATAAAATTATATTATGTCTGCCCCTAAACTCAAGTCACTTTAAGTGTCAGGAAACAAATAGACAAAAACGAAATAGAGATGGCAAATAGAAGATTGCCATTAGCCATTTTTCGTGAGCATGACTCTGGGACTCCGTGGCAAAGGGTGTGCCTGCCTAAAGTCTTTTTTATGGTAGATATCCCATATTTTTCACATGGTTACATGTTTAAACCATAGCCAGTTAAAATAATCCACGAGAAAAGCCCAGGTGTTTTCACAATTTGCTGAATTTCCTGAGAATCCCAAGCATGTACAGAAAATTCTGACATCCTTCAACAAGTTCATTACCTTAAAGTACAGTTAGAGACCCCATGTGATAGGAGAAGAAACCCTGAAAATCTGGGTTCCAATTTCTGTTCTGCCTCTAATTCTACGATCTTCATTAAATTAGTCTCTCTTGGCTTTTGTTTTTCCATTTGTAAAATTAGGGGGTTACAGTA